CACCCCGACCCATCCTGCGGCTCGAGAACTATTGATCAGGTCAGACTCGGTATCGCGTTTCCCTCCTGGGTGATCGGAGGCAGCAGTTAAACCTTGGTGGTGGCTCATACAACGTGCAGTGCCTTTCCCCCTTCTTTAAGGTCTTCGCTGGCCTTTAGTGCCCGGTGTCCTGGATTTTGCAGACGGATGTCGGGGGGAACAGCTCTGCAAACGCCACGCGTTGCCCAGGCTTCTCGTGCTCAGGTTGGACCCTGCAGAGCGGGCTGACCGTCCCCAGGCCGCAGGGGACCCTTCGCAGGGCGGCAGACTGGCTGATGCTAGATCGGTACTCAGGCCGGCTGTTCGGGTGCTTTATTTCAGATACGTACTGACGTTAAAGTAGATAACGAGCTAACCTGCGTGTTTTTTTTTTTCTTTTCGCAGTACCCGTTCGAACTGGGGCTGACGGGGGCGTTTGTGTTTTCCACGCTGGTGTGCCTCAGCAGGCTCTACACGGGGATGCACACCGTCCTGGTAAGGAGAGTGGTGTGTGTGTCTCGCCTCCGCCACGGGACTGCAGCGATATTTAAGTAACGCCACTCAGTTTTAGGCTGTGCGTTCAGAGGCGGTTGGGAGGAAACCCCTAGGCTGCTGCTATTTGCATCTGCAAGGGAGTTACGTGCGCGGTTAAGGAACCCGCCAGGCCAGCGTGTGGGGGTTTAAAAGCCGGGTGAGGTTGGTGTGGCATGTGAATCGTAGTCCTGTGTTTTGAAATCTTAATTGTAAGGAGTGCACTTGTGCAACTCTCCACTGCTGTTTAGCTAAGCTCTTTGGGCAATAGTATCACTGCTGTCAGCAGCAAACCCGACGGGCTGGGTCTGCCTGGGAGCGCCAGGGAGGCGCAGCAGCTCCGTGAGTCATGCTGGCCACCAGCCGTGGTGGTAGAACTTGACAACTAAGCTGTCTTCTGGGGACTGAGGAGTAGCACGTTTCATATCGCCGTGCAGGGACGTGAGAGTTTTAGAAATGATTATGACAAGCTTCAAGAAACTTTAGACTGGTAGGAAACTCGAAGGACTGAGATGCGCAACTGCTTTATCCAAAAATATTCATAAAATATCTGTGACTTTTTGTATGATAAACTTGTAGGCCATGGTTGTTTAGAGGAAATGAAGTCCGTCCCGCTTTAGGAGCGGATTTCAACATAACCTTGATTACGAAGCAGCTTCCTGACGAGAGGAAATGTTATTGATCTATTGCACGTAGTTATCGGAGGGGTGAGCCAGGTCCCGAAGTGTGAACGCAAGCTTCTAGCTGGCTCCACGTATTTGTTTAGTACACATTGTATATTGGTTGCATAGGAAGAAATATTACATCTTTTACTAAGTAATAATCATATTTGCTCTAATAAGGAGACTTGATGAAATCAAAAAGAGAGCCCTTATGAGATTAAGGTTATCTATAAAATATGGCCTGACCTTTCCTTCCAGCCCTAGTGGATCAAAACAATATCTTAAATCCAAGCTGGAGACATCCTTTCTTAACTAGTGACCTTAAGTCAATCAGTAAAAATTCTTAGCATATTTCCCTTGCTGTTCCACGATAATGAAAGATGCCTCTAAATTTAGATGGATTTTAGGGTAAAGAATAAGAAGTCCTTTGTGCCTTTGACACCATAAAAAAGGCTTTAAAATAAAATAGCTCCTCAGTTTAACTGTGAGAAATCCTGCCTGTCAATAGGCCAAACATGCTTCGCTCGGGCCTTTGTCTCGCGAGCGTCCCACTGGCGAAGGGAGCGGGCAGAAGCGTTTGGCGCGGTTGCTGCTTCGCTACTGTCACGCCGTCCTGGGCATCGACTTTCCCCGTGCAATTAAGGATTCCTTGCAAATTCCTTGCCCGGCTTGCCCCGGTGGCTCCTGGTCTGCAGAGGCGGGCCCGAACCAGCCGACCCGGACGGCCAAAAAAGGCCGAAACGGTGGCGCTGGGCCACCGTGTCCTTCTCCCCAGTGTTTTGCCAAATTGACTTTTAAGTAGGTTCTCAACAGAAAACGAATACGGAAGGGATATAATTACGTATTAAGTGACCGTAATATTTTTATTAAAGCAAATGAGCAAGTGCAACGTATCCGGTGACTTAGTGAATGTTTCCAATTTAAGGGAGCGGCGAACAAATGGTGCAGTCTGCAGCTCAGCGTTGCTCGCGTTGCCCTCGTGTCCGGAGCAGCCTCAGAAAGGAGGGGTGGGAGCGAGAAGGTTGCGCCGTTCATCTGGCATTAAACAGATAATCTAATGACAGCAGCTTTCCTTCACGCCCTGAGCACGAGACTGTTCCCCGTTAGTGGAGAAGTGGACAGGAGGCAAGGCCTTCCCTTGCCTGTTAGAGCCCAAATTATGGGGCCCGAAGAGCTTGCAATGGGCGGATTTGGAGTTGTCAGGAAAGGGCAACGTAAAAACGTGGAGTCGAGTTTTGACGCAGAGAATCGGTAATTGCAGAGAGACTGTTCTTAAGGAACAAAGAGCAGCTGGAGACCCTTGGACTGGGACGCTTGCCTTTTTTTTTCTGGACTTTCATATTTTGATGAATATCCTTTTACTGTGTGGCTTAAAACTTCGGCCTAATTTTTGACCCCCGTCTCAGTGAGATGAACAAGTTTTCCTCTCTAACCGTCGCTGGAGCATGTCTGAGTCATCTCATATTTGAAAGGATGAGTGACGGTGTTCACGTGAGGACACAGTATCCCAGAAAGATACGAGAAGAACCACGTAGGTCATGTTCAGAAGGGCTTAATCAGCTGAGGGTGATCCTCAAAGCAAGGGGGAGGCGGGGAGGCTTTCATCCTCCCTCTAACCCTTCAGGGCTCGCGATAGGAATTCCTTAATGCACCAAACTAATGGATTTTGCATTAGCTGTCGCAGGAGCGCCGGGTTTTCCCCTGGCTGCGATGCACGCTGCCCCGGCTCCAGCGAGCGACGGCAGCTTAGGGGAGCAGACGGCCACTTAAGAGCCACATTTAATCTTGTGACAAGCCGACTAATACGGCAGTTTCCCATTTGTGCAGCCCCGGTTTAAAAGCAATAATGTCCTGTGCTGGCCAGCACTGGGGGTAGGATAGAAGGAGAAGTCAAAAGGTGGGGGGTTTTGGTTGTTTTTGTTTTTGTCTTTTTATGATGAAAAAAAACGCCAGGAGTTCTTTTGGTAAAGAAAGTAAATAGTTTCTTCTGAGAAATATAGATTCAATCTTGATGCTTTTATTGCGAATTACACTACCCTAAAGCCAGAGGATTCTGTAGCGGGCACCCTGCTCGTTTCTGGGCTCTCTCTCTCTTTTTTTTTTTTTTTTTAACAACACCATTAATCCTGAAATTGCCTTAAATATTATAAAGCTGATAAAGAAACAGGATACTGGCATCATTTTACGCTCTATAGCAGTACAGTCCTCATAGGATGAAACGGTGTCTCTTGAGAGTAGAAAGCCAACAATGTGCTTCTGTTTAGAAGAGCCGGTATAGCATAACCCTATTGCTAAGTGAAACCATGAAGGGAATTCAGGCATTAAGTGGCTGCATACAAGGCAGAGCAGGAAAAGTCTTCTTATTGCTTTGGTTGGAACTAGCAGGGAATATCTTTGAATGCCACCATACTTGGGATGCCATTTCATGCTCTAGGAGTCTTTTATCGGCGTTTGTGATTCCAACCTTCACCATGAGTTTAATTGTAATGGGAAGAGTATCAAATGGTTTTGCCTTCAAAAAGCCAAACCTCCTGGTTATGCAGTCCTCTAAAAATCTGCGGTAGAATCTTGTTCAAGAAGTTCAGCACCAGAAATGCACCGAGAGCGCTGCTGCCAGCTTTGGACCCCGCGAGGACGTGCCCAGTTTTCCCAGGAAAAGTCCCCGAAGTAGCATTTGCTGAACCACTGCTACTGCCCTGTGCACAAGCATAGTTCAGCGGTATTTTAAGTTGCTCAAATACTGTGTCTAATGTACCGTGTGCAACTGGATATTTATGTCAATTGTTTTTATTTACATACTTTCCTGTAGTACAGGAAAATAACTTAATCTTGCAGCATTAGAAACCCAATACTGGTTCATTCTTTAGATAGCAAAGCAAAATTCCTCCTTTCCAGTTAAAATATAGAGAAATAAGGCCTCTTTTTTTTTTTTTTTTTTTTTTTTTTTGCTTGCCAGGGTCGGTGAGGGCTGCATGGGGTTGGGGCAGGCTGGGAATGAGTGCAGGCCCAGCACAGCAGCAGATGGGCATGGGCTTTGCAATAGGGCAAAAGCCATGTCTAGGGCTGACACAGCAGTTGGGAGTGTCGAGCGACCTGGAGCGTCCAAACTCGGAAGTGGGAGGTTTTAAACTTTGCCAGGTAGCATTGCACCTTGAGCAAAAGCCATTCCTTCCCTAATTTAAAAATTCCTATATAATTGTGGGTTTGCTGGGATGCTAATCTGTTTACACAGACAAATAGGCAAAGAATGTGCTTCCTGGGAATATTGAAAGTGTCTCCAGGACAGGAAAAAAATTAAGGTCCCTCTTCTAAATGTACAGTACAAAGATTCTAGAAAAGTGGTTTTTCCTCACAAAAATCAAGCAGTCTTTCCTCTTCTGATATTCTGCTTAGAAAGTTTAATAGACAGGGGGGAAAAATCACTTAATTGTACATTTGCTAAATACCTTCTTAAAATATCAGTCTTTAGCTCACCACCTTTTGCAGGGTTTTAGGAAAATCGAGCCTCTGCTGGTGCATATCAGTATGCATTTTCAAATTTGCATTCAAGCATTTGCAGGAGGAAAGACAAGATAAAACCAATCATTTAGCTAATCTAATTTGGAAATAATTCGTAACGTTGAACCAGTCCAGTCCTTTCTGAACCAGTTTGCAAAAGCCAGCCCTGTTGCCTTGTGGAAACCGTGCTTCAGGCCCCGGCTCCCTTCTGGGGACTGTCGTCTTTCTGGAGGACTAAGCATCACGTAACACAGTGCAGGTTTCCTTTTGCCTGATCTCTCCTGATGCACCACGGGGGAGAGAGTTTAGGAAGTCGTAAAAACGCTGAAACAACTTGAAAGGCAGCATTTGGAGTCAGCTTGGTAAATCTAACCAAAACATTTGGTTTGAGGGACGTTAATGTTGGATTAAATGCTTTTAGTTGGAAGAGAAACACACATGAACAGCTTTTCAGTTTCACTCCTTAATCACACGTGGAGGCGGTGTTGAGGTGTCAGGATTTTTTCTTTCAGTGTAAGGTGGACAGATAGTGGAGCGGGGGACGGAGGTACGCAGCGCGGGTGGGATTTCGGAGCGTCAGTGCTGAGAGCGAACGCTGGCGCTGCTGTGTCCTGATGCGGTTACTTAAGCCGAGATGTGCCTTTGGGTGTGGAGCGCTCATGTGATTAACTGGTCTCAAAAGGTGAATTATTTTGGTGTTGTGAAACTGGGACAGCTAACGGTATTTACGTTTTACGCGTCTGTAAGTACCTGTAGTCAGGTATTGCATGACTATCCTAACGCCAAGGGGAAGGAAATAAACCTAAGTGGAAATTTGTATTAGGAACATGCAAAATGGCTCTTTGAGGAGCTTAAAATTAAACGCGCTGTGAATCTGTTGCCTGAAAGTTGTAAACATCTAAAGTTCAACCTTATTTGAGTAATGCATTTACAAGAAAGTCATGAAATATTTCTGCTGTGAAGAAAAGTCCCCTCCTTTCCTGCATAACTATAAATGAAGGTCTCATAAATCATTTGTTTTAGCCTGTGACCAAGCATAGGAATAGTCAACTGTCACGACTTTTTCTCAAGATTGTATCTTTTTCACAAGGACATTTCTGAATGCGATTATAGCTTTTGCAGTCAATTTTATGGTAAGAATACAAATTCTGCTGGTCCTGAGCGATATCTAGAGAGGAGCACAGCGAAACTTCTTACACAGCTTTTTATCTGACTGCTGTCAATGACATACAGAAAGCTTTTGTTGCAGGTTCACGTTTGTCTCCTTTCCCAGGATTGTTGTTGACAACAATCAAGTTCTCAAAACAGCTTATTCGCCTCTGTTAATAAATTAGATTTTAACTATGCCCTTGCTTCAGGCACTTAACTACAAGCCGGATTTCAGAGGCTTGGGCAACAAATTTCTTATTGATTTATTCTTGCCTAGAGGTGCTCCCTCTTGCCACGGTAGGTCGGATCCATCACGTGCGCACCACGTCTTGCAGCTCTGCGCTTGCTTTCCCTAGAGGTTGCGTTCCGGGATTGGCATTTTTCCTTTGACAAAAGAGCATCCTCCTGTTTAAGCAAATGAAGCAAGTGATAATCCTACTGGTAGGAGGGGATGGGTTTGAATTAAGGTATCTTACCTTAAAACTGTCTACGATGTGAAGTTGTGCAAAGGTCTTTTCTGTTGCAGTAACACGTGGACAGTGTCCTTAAGACATGAAAGCAGGTGAGGGGAAGAGTCTTACTTGTGCTGTTGGTTTTTGCGGGGAAAATATATGAGTCAGTAGACATATTCACATGAACAAGGCCAAGATTAGGTTTACCCATTATCTTTGTTTAGCATAACTTTAGGTGTCCGCTGTTAAGTATACAGGGGCTTGGTCTTGCTCTGTGGGCTCGAAAACATGGATGGATGCTGAATTCAGAGAGCGCCTCTGGTGTTGTGCTCTTATGAATGCAGATATCAGTTCTTTATAATCATGTGAGAATTTCCATTTGACAAAGGTTTAAGAAAATGTTCAAAAATGCTCTCTTTCCAGGACGTGATCGGCGGAGCACTGATTTCGGCTGTGTTGCTGGTGCTTTTGTATCCCGTGTGGGACTTCATCGATCACCTGCTGTTAACGAGTCCCTTCTGTCCACTGCTGTCCATAGTCGTGCCTCTTGTCCTGTGTTACAAGTACCCCAAACTAGAATACTACAGCCCTACCAGGGGAGACACCACCACTATCTTGGGAGCAGGAGCCGGAGCAACTGTGGGGTTTTGGTGGAATAACCAGTATGCAGCACCAGTTTACTCCAGTGAAAAATTTCAGCTGGGGTTTCCTCTGATCACCGGTACGATACTCCTGGTTGTGCTAGCCCGGTTCTTCGTGGGGATCTGTATTATTCTGCTGACGCGCCAGCTCATGAAGAGCGCGGTCCTCGGCATGCTGTGCTATCGATACAAGTTTCCCATTGGTGATCTAGAAGCCAGAAGACGACTGGAAGTTGAGGTGCCGTATAAATTTATAACCTACTCTTCAGTTGGCTTCAGTGCTACAGTGATTGTGCCACTATTGCATCAGTTACTAGGATTGATTTGAGCCCAATTCCTTAAAGAATAATTTATGGCACCACCATTTCGGAGATGCAATAAGTTGTTCCAAGCTGGTAACTGGACTGAGAAGCGTCTTGTGCCTTTCTGCACTGGCCTAAAATACCTAATTGTGAAGATTCGTGGGGATGGCTCTACACAAACAACCCAGGGTTAGAAATCACGGACTCCGCTGTGTCCCTTAATTAGAGGCCTGTGGCCCGGATGACGTGATGTGACGTGACGTGGCGTGAGAAGCGCAGGGTACGGAGCCGAGCTCGCTGCCGGCGAGGTCGCGGCCGGGGACGGCTGCGCTGGGGAGGTCGGCACGGCGCCCGGCGCCCGGCAAAGACCTGATGATTACTGTGCGTGTCTTGTCATGTTGTCTTCTGACGGCACAGCCAGCCTTGGTGATGCCGGCGTGTACGGTTTTACCCATTGCAACTCCTAAAAAATTAAGGAAAGAAAGAAAAAGGCCACCCAAAACATTTGAGCGATTTGTAACAAATTTATCTAGAATATTGATAAGAAAACCTCCACTAGCAGATCCTTTACGCGTGTACAATTTAACAGAGTTGTTGGCACAGCGCGGAGGATTGTTGAGCTCTGATTTAGCTTCCCACCGAGAGGAATGGGGCCAAGCCTCCCCCAGGCGCAGGGCTCCTCTGACGCTTAGTCTTCGTAAGCCGCCGCGTGCCAAATGCTGTAACGTCGGTTCAGGTGACTATAACGTCTGGGGAGGATAAAACGCCATAATTTTCTGGTGCTACACAGCGTTACAATTGGTCTTCCATGTGTCTTGCAATACCGTGTATAAACGTGTAGAGCAGTAGTGCAGGAATGGTCATAGGAGCGTCGCTGCTATAACTTTGAGGCTGCTTATTTTAAAACTAGATCTGCAATTGGACCGATGAGCTGTTGACAAATACAGCGATGACTGTGGTCTGCTTGGCTAGGGGAAAAAAAAAAGCAACATTTTCAGATTCTGACTGCAGAGCTTTAAGCATGGCCTGCGTGCCTTTTTCTGACAGAACGGGTAGTAAAATCAGCATTTTAAGCACATACGTTTGTGTTCTTGGGCTACAAAAAAAATTAACTTCAAGAATATAAAGGAGGTGCATTTCTACCAGTTGACTATTTATATTAAATAAAATCAAGTTCCAAAAACTGAGCTGAAAGTTTTATCTGAATCACTGTAGTCATGCACCTGTGAGAGCAGTCTGATTTTTTTTTTTTTTGAACAAGTTTTTTTTAAACAATCTCCATAAGAAATGCAAGCAGAAATGCTAGATTTGCACAGGCCGTGCTTAAACTGTTTTAAATTAGGGTGTGTGGACAGGCCTGTCTGTACACGTGAACGCCAGCGGGTTGAATGAACTTCACAGCAGGACGTGCGCGCTGCCCTCTGCCCGCCGCAGCCAGCGGCAGCCCGGTAAGTCGGGTGCGCTTGGTCTCCCCTCCTTCCCGCACGCCATAAAACGCTGCAATGCCCATGAGGCTTAGCTTAAAAACACCTTCGCATCAGGGTGCTGTATGATAGAGAGCTGCCTGAAGGCGGAAGATCCGAAGCCCTCTGGAGGTACCATATCTCGGCGAACGGCCCCAAAACGGGCAAAACGTAGCGCAGGAAGCGGAGCGGGTTAGGCTCAAGAAGGCGCAGCGTGAGCGGGGCAGGCGTGCAGTCCCGCGTGCAGAGTTTCTGCTCCGAATCACAGCTATCTTCTGCTATGAGCAATTTGTAAATTATATAGAAATGCTTGGATTTATGAGGTATGTGCACAAATATTTTTATCTTTTATAGTATTCCCCTGCATGTGATTTATGCAGTACATGCAAACTGCACTTGGTTCAGATTTTAAAATATACATGTTTTTTCCAGATTTGCTGTGTTTCTTTGTTCATTTTGTCTCCTCTTGTAAATGATTGATATAATGGGAGTGACTTGCAGTTCAGAAAGCTTCCCAAATGCAACAGCTGAATACTCCCCTGATTTAGACTGGTGACGTTTGATATAGATGAAGACAGGGAATTGTTCTGGTGTGGGAAGATCTGAGCAAGAAGGGGAAAACCTGAGAGGACACCGTACAAATGGCATTAAAAGGCAATAAAAACCTTCTCGGTTCTAGGTAGGTGCCTCACTCTGGACATGAAAGGCATTAATGTTTGTCCTAGCTCCTGGAAATTCAGAAAAATCCTTCTTCTTCATTTTGACCAGAGTAAAAAGCCATTAGATAGTTATTTTACTTGAACCGTGCTAACTAGCACCACTTTAAATCCCACCAAAGATTTGTTGCTAAAGAGTTCGTGGTTGGCCCGAGCTGGTGATACAGATCAAGCCCCGTTCCTGCAAAAACTGCAAGGATATCCCAGGATTAGCAGCAGTTGTATGTATGTAATTGTATATAATCAAGCCCCCTTCAGACCTTTCTTGGTTTAAAACAAAAAAAAAATTAAAAAAAATTTCGGAAAGAAGTTAAAGATCACCGATCTAGTCACAAATACGCGTTACATCCTGTGTAAAGGGGAAGGCACAAGTTACTGCCTTTAACGAAGGCAATGCTTGGGCATCTCGAATCGCCTTCACTTGCAGAATCTGCCTCCAGGAACTGGAAGCTAAATTTGATTTTAAATGAACGTATGCAGCGATAGCGCGAGATAGCCCACAAACGGCAGAGTAGATCCCTCAGTAGATCAGAGGTTTCTTTAGAGCGGCGGCGGTGGTGGCGGCACGCTGAAATGGGGCGGGGAGGAGCCGCGGGCTGAGCCGCAGCGCTCGCCTGCTTTAGCTTTCCAGCAGCAGCTTTGTCAGCAGACCGCTGGCCTAGCCCTGCCGCCTTGCTGTGCAGGACTGCAAGCAAGGTTTCCACGTTGCTAGTCGAGACAGAGGTGATTTGATCCAGGGGGAGAAAGGAAAACGGAAAAACACTGTTTCACATTTGGGTTTGAAGCCTTCCGCTGCCTGGGGCCGGGGCAAATTAGGAAATGTGGGCGCATCTCTGAACAGGGTGGAAGCGCGATTCAGCAGCGGGTGGGTCTCTCACGTTTACCCCCCCTGCAAAAAAAAAAAAAAAACAAAACCAAAAAACCCCCCATAACCCTGGTTTATTACCACCGAAGTCCACGGCTTACTCTGTGGTGCATCACACGTGGTGCTTGGCCTGCTGGGGAGCAGGAAGAGCCCTGCCCGTGCCTGGCTGCAGAGCCAGACCCCGGGGTGCGACGTCCCCCTGTCACCCGGCTCGTCTTCCTCCTCGCTGGGGTAGGTTTCAAGGTCGCCGGGTGGTCAGAGGTGTCACGTGAAGCTGAGGTGCCGGCTGCAGCCTCCTGGCAGCCGTCAGCATTATGCCTGATTGCTCAGCTCGTTGCTCAGCCTATTCCGTGTTCACCTGCCAAATTGAGAATGATTTAAGTTGTAAGTAAGCATGTTACGAAGCCAGAGATGGCAGTCCTAAGCGTTTGCCTTTACGTATTCACACGCGATAGAGCGATTTGCAAGCGCAGGCTAAAACCGTGGTGGGGAGCTGGAGGTCAGGCGGTCTCAATCTTTCTACTTTCAATATGACACCTTTTTTCCGAAAGTATTTTTGAATCAGGACCAGAGTAGCAAGTATAAAGCCATAAGTCGTGCACCTGTATCCAGCTGAAACAAAACAATTTCCAGCAGTCACCCAGACAGCACTTTAATAACAACTTCAGTCTTCCTTCCACCACTGCTCTAGCTTGCTGTGCTTGTGTTCAGCTCCTGAATAACGACACAGTGTCCACTATCAGCAGGACTAGGCTAAAAATAACGCATAATTTGGGACCACTAGTGAAAAATCTGACTCCTGAATCTTCTTTAAAAAATACTCAATGTTCAAAAGACGCCACCATTGGCAGACAGTAGTTGCTTTGTGTGAGAGAACATCGCTAAACCAAAGGTCAAAAGAAAAATAATAAAGACCACAGTGGCTTTCTCTGGTGCTAAGCTTTGTGTTAGATGCCTTGATTATCGACTACAACTGTGAGCAAACTGTAAATATCAGATAATTGTTATTGGGCTAAGAAAGACAAAGTCCTGCAATAAATATGCTGGAATTGTATGAAGTTTCCCACTTGTCACAATTCACAGATAATCCTGAGCACAACACCATAGCACAGCTTGAATTTCAGGGCTACAGCAGCCTTGCAGATGCTGCTGACTTTGCATGTGGCTGTGAAAGGGGTCAGCAGCTCTGAAAGAGACTTTTTAACCTTTCTAATGATGCTGCTCTCCCGCTTTAAGCAAGGAATGGTACTTTCTCGGGACAGAGCTAATGGCCTGCTTGTGAAGTACGTAGGTACTGACATACAAGCAAATGCTATGGAAAAGGGGGATGCCTGATCCTAAAAGCCTTGCAACACGTACCACTGCTGCTCAAGCCCGTAGTTCCAATCTAATCTGGTCTTTGCACTCAAAGGACAACAAATTCACAGGAGAATTGGGACACCCAAAGAGTCAGAAGATCTTGGGCAGAGAAATGTATTTAGTGCATGCAAATATGCCCGTACTCTGCTGAAATGCAAATCTGCCTTATTGTCGTCCTAATCCCCATGCATGACACACTAATACACGGGGTTTTTTAATACTTACCATCTGTGTTACAGATTGCTTCCCACACTGTGAGCTTGCTTGGTTACAGTTGTGTAGGCATCATGGAGAGATATATCCTGCAAACGACAAGCTGGATAATCCCTTGGGAGGCTTTAAAATGTGAGTTGCAGTTTTCTCACTCTCTGTGTGCACTTGAGTCAGTTGTGCTACGTATAGCGCTATCTGTCTTCTCATTTCATGTCTGTCACGCAGAGATAACTAAAATCTACACTTCCATCTCAGTCAACTGTAGGGTTTCCAGCTGTGTAACGCTAGTGCATTTTTCGTAACAGATTAACGCTTGCACCAAAAAGCCTTGCCCGCTGCCTTTCCACCTGTTAAGATTAATGACAGCTCTACCATTTAAAAGCCATCATGGGTCCAGAGATAGGGCTCTGTGCAGACATGCAGCTCTTAAAACTATGATCTGATCTTATCATCACCATTGTATATCTCTTCTTGTTTAGCTAGTAACATCCTTTTCCACCATCACCCACTTGTCTAACCTTGAACTGTCCCTTTCTGGGCCCCTAGAGGATCTGGCTCCCACAACAGAAATAAGCCAGTGTATTGGAATAACGTAAAATATTTACTAGTGTTAGCATGCAACATTAGAAATGGGTATAATATTGCAAATGAGCAATAGCCAACTTCATTAGAAAGCCAGTAAGGAGCTAGCCTAAAAGTACTGAGCTGGCCACCCACTCAGTTACATTACACCGGAATGGAGATATCAAGAATTGCTGTGTCTGGATGAAAGGTCTCATTTCCAAGCTAGCAGAGGCACAACAGACCAAGCTCTAGCTAGCAGAACTGTTGCGGAAAATCCACCTAGAGGAAAATCCTGATCCGTGAGAGAGTCTAGCATACTGTCACAAGCAAGCAAGACTGGAAGAGAGGTAAACCGCTGCTGTGCTGCTGGGGTTAAGAAATCTATTGGTAGGGCTATGCAAGTGTAGCGGGGAACACGCAAACTTCTGCAGACAAACATCCCAGCCTCACTCATACAAATACTTTGCTGTTTTTCAGCGCCTCATGCAAAAGACCACTGGCATATGCTCTTAAATGCATTTCCTCAATTTGGTTTGAAGCTTCAAAACCACTAGGCTTACTTCAACCATGAAAATATTTAATTTCCCTCATCCCCTCCCCCTTTGAATTTAGAATGATAAAGGATCAACAGTTATGTCTGGAGTAGGGACGCAGATATTACACACATCTTGCTTACAAAATAGCTCTGGTTTTCATGAAACAAGTTTATTTTCCTCCCCCAGCCAACGATGAGCACATGACAACCGTACAGAATAAAAGCTCAGCTCCTTAGTTCTGCTCACATTCACTCAACATTTGCTCTAATCAATTATCTTATTTCATGCAATAAGAAAAGAATGAGATTCCTGTTATGCAGCCATAATCGGTTACAGTATGAAGCTGTGTCTGTGGAACATTTCTGATTTTAAAAACTAATCATGTGCTCTGCCCTTGCATTTCTCTTGTAAAACACTGGGCTTTTACCCAAATTGTTTCTTTTTTCCTCCCCTTTAAAAACATTGACGGAGCAGTCCAGTCCTAGATACCATATTCTTACATTGCAGTAGCTAGGCTAACTGCAGTGTAAGGAACACATTTACCCAAGGAGACAGACTCTGTTTTTCTAGTTTATTAAAATATAAAAGCATAAGCGGATGTTCCCTGCAGAGAAAGACAAAAGAGCTGAGGGTGCTGCATGTGAAAGTGGACCTCTGCAGGAGGATAGAAGTCCTGCCTTCACACAAAAGGCTCAATATTGATCTCTAGGGCAGAGCATGGCATGGTGAGCTCAAATTTGGTGATAACATCAGGGTGTAGGACTCCAAGTTTCCCAATGCTCTGACCTTTGGCAATGATCTCAGCACAGCGACCAGGAAAGAAAGCAGAGCCTGTAAAGAAAGAGAGAGAAAAATCAATATTTCTCCAGGCCAAAGAACTCAATAGGCATTTAACACGGAGAACAAAGCTCCCAGTATTAAACAGTTCTCTTTGCTAAGATGCTAAGAACGGGTTCCCACTTTCTTGCATTAACAGTTGTCATGATTGATAGAGAACGAGGAAACACTCTGAGTTAAAAATAAAATGTGGAGCCTAAAGCACGGGCATTTTTCACACTCCGGTTGTTTTGTCAAAGGTTCTCCTGTAATAGAAATTAGTATAG